CCATCCTTATCTTGTGCATTCATTTCCCTGGTGACTGAGTTTATTGCTACAGGAGGCTCAGTTTGTCCTTCTACAATTTTCACGGAGCAGGAAAAATCAGTTTGCACACAAGCAGATTTGAAGCTGCAGCAATGAGGAATCACAGCAATTGAACTATAGCTGAAACTTCAGCTTGTTTACCTAAGCATTGATTTTATTTGCAATGCATAGAATTTCTTTTTGTTACTTCTACTCTTAAGTTTCTGTAGAAGCTCTTTAGCTGCAAGGTGGGCCTTTAGCAGCCAGTGAAGGTAATCAGGGTTATTCTTGGTTTGAGCTGCCCTTGTAGCCTGTGAGGCTGCTGAAGGTTGGTGTCAGCTGGTTTACAGCACTGCTCCCACGGAGTAATAGTCTCTCAGCAGATTACACACTGAGTGTCCATCCCCGAGTAGCTCAGGCCTAGCCTAAAACGTGACTTTCTCTGAGAAATGTGTGAATGAAATACTTTTGAAGACGGTGATCCATTCTAGCAGCTCAGGGTTGGGATTTTGGACTCCTCAGTTTGACTTTAAATCAAGATTTACCTACCCCTACATACAGCGCCTGCTACTCTCCATTCCTGTCCAGCCTCTGTGGGCGCTGGGCAGTCGTGGGAGGAGATGCCATGCAAGTGCTGTGGTGGCGTTGGCTGCCGAACAACTGTTCCCTGTCTCCCCAGGGGTAAAAAGCCCACAGCATGTATATTATATTTTGGGGGGTTTGTGCTATCAAGTTCTTTTCCTGGAAGCATTTTAGCCATGTGTTTGTTGTTAAACTGGTTGCTTGTGGGAGCAGCAACTCTATGAAGAAAAATGATTGCTCTGTAGAGTCCTGTGCCTATAGAGCCGGCTCTTTCACATTGAAGTGTTGCTTAGCAAAATATTTTTGGGTTCACAAAACCAACTTTGTTTTCTTCACACGTATGCTGCACTCCCACTAATTAAGTATTATGCAAGGCAAATTGTCTGCAGAAACCTGTACAACTTCATAGTCATTATATGATGCTCAACTGGCACGTCTTCAGTCGCATTACTTTCATCAGATTTGCACATGCATTGAAACATGATAAAGAATTCTGCCATATTCAGAAGTAAAATTCAGCTTTTCCACAGCTGTATTCGCTTTGCAGAGGAGAAAATACTGCTGAGTAAAATGACAGCATATGTAGGTAGTCCGTTTTCAGAGGGGAGCCTCAGACAACGTAGCACTAAACCCAGACAAATTACTATGAGAATTGAGCTGGGAAGTAAGTATACATGCATTCATGAGATACAGTAACTTTTTTCCTCTGAGGATCAGGCAGATGAATTTTGGTTGAATTCTTCTAGTTTTAAATACATTCAGTGATGTTATCATCATTATCCTTAAGAAACCTAGACATTGCAGGTGCTACCACATACAATTAAGTGCTAGAGCAAAGGTGCTCTAGCAACACAAGTGCTTGGACTTTTTTTTTTTTTTTAAGAATCTGTGTATTTTGTTGTGCAGTCCTATCCATTAGGCTTTTTAGAGAGATTTATATTTTACAGATTCCTCTTTTAATTTCATTCACTTATTTAAAATATTGCCTTTGGACTGAGAAACGAGCAATGTTTGTTATTGACAATTGTGTTTTGATATTTAATGATTTTTTGAACAGTCCACCATGCCCATGTAGAAAATAAACTCTCAGCCCTCCTTTTTTCTTTCCAAGGCTGAATAAAGGCTGCAGAGATTGCTGTGCCAGCTCCGGGCAAAAAGCAAGGTGGAGACTTGGAGGAGTTGATGTCATGTGCGGGGGTCTACAGTTGTGGGGGAGCGCTCTCCCTGGATGTTAATTATGTAAAAAGAGGGCAATGAAGCAGGTATTCTATAAGGGAGCTGAAACACTGAGACTGACGTATCTGTGAGCACGGTGCATCCACCTATATTTGCTTTAGGTTAGGCAGCTTGGGTACCAGTAACCGTTTGGCTGTGGCAGAAGCGATCTCAGCACAGAGCAACTGCAGTGTACGTGGGTGCTCAATCAAGCCTGCATTATTTTCTGAGGGCAGGGGACAGTCACCAGGAATTGAGTCATCTAGCTTGAAGTTAGATTGATAAGTCTATTCCATACCGAAGGCATAAATGAGTAGTGCGAACATATGCTACCTCAAAATTTTTTCCTTGGTTGATTCCTAGGGTGTGCGGCTAGATTCTGCTTCTTACACAGGACAAATGCAATTATAAGCAAGCAAAAATATCTGAAGAATTCATGTGTAAAATAATTTAAATGAGTAGAGGAAGGGTTTTATTCTTCTTTATCAAACTTAAAAGCAATGAAAATGAAAACATTTTAGGAGTCAAAAATATTTTATATCCATTCATTTGCCAGGCCTATGAATCCAAATAGCAATACAAACCGTTTACTGTTTCAACAGCTTTTCCTTTTCCTAACTGGGATTTACCAAACTTTAATTTGCAAAAGTTGTGGGGTTTTCTTAATAAATAATTTCTACTTATTAATTTGGCTGCCAAATGAGATTTCTCTAATTTCTGTAATTTCTGGAAATTTCATTCTGGTATCAATAGTAAGCATTTTATTTGCCCTTCCTTGGGAGAAAAAAGAATATACATGCACTGAACTGTAATCCATTCTACAGCCTATTCAAGCTGTTACTTATATACTGTGCTGCAAAGCATCTGAAAACAAAATTATGTATTTCAGCAAATCATGTATTTATCAGACATTTCTATTAACTGCAAGTGTGTAGTGAGAAGGTACAGTAGTGGTTTAATATATCATCAAGACAAACAGTGTTTGAATGTACATGTTCATCTACATTTTTAGGAATTACAAATAAGACAACTATGTGCACAGTACTTTAAAATGCAGTGAACTTCTCTTCTAGTCGCATTGACAGTACCGGTGCTTTACACAGTTGAATCTGGTTAAAAGCTCTATTCCCAGTGTAATAAATGTGAGACTACAGGTACAACACTGACAGCAGAGATCATTAAGGTGCTGTTCTGATTGTTTATTACTCTGTGCATCTCTCCTCCGCTCCCCTCTTCTCCCCGTCCCCTCCCCTCCAACACACCCGAATTTTTTCATACAGAATGAAAAGCTCATTGGCTCCAGAGTATTCAGGAAGAAAAGTTTAAGATAGAAGATTTTAACCTGAAAGTAATGAAACATATAATGAGATTCATAGTAATAGGAATACATAAAGCTGCTTTAACAGTTTTAATTTTTTTTTTTTTTGGTATGGCAGAAGAAACCAGTATCCACATCCCATGGTGCTAAACGCTCTACAACACAGAGTAGCACACAGAGAAAAGAGTCCAGACTGAAGATTGTAACAGTCAGATTGGGTCTCAGCAGTCTTTGTGAATTCGAGGAAGAACAATCATCTCTATTTTTGAGATACAGAAGGCGAGGCACAGAAAACGTAAATGCCTTGCTCAGAAACACACAGTGAACCAGTGGTAGACTTTGGGTCTGTTTACTCCCCAGCCACCAATTTATTCGTTGGCCCATTCTGTCCTCTTAAACAACTAAGAGAAGATCTTCTGAGATATACAACATGGGCCTAGTATCATAGGGGAATCGGTGTCAAATGCACGCAGCCTGGTTCTGCACTACCTGTTTGGCATCTGTAGTCACTTATGTTTACATAAAGAGGGCCTAAAATGCCCTCAGATCAAAACTGATTTGGTGTAAATGACTCATATATGTAGTTTAATAGCGAATCAGGCTCACATCAATTACTTTGTGGCATGCTGAGACTAGAATTAACTAACTGTTTTAATTGCTAATGAATTAAGGCTGATTCCTGTTTCTATTAAGGCCTCTGTATCCTTCTATGACAGTGTAACTGTGCCTCAGTGCAAGTGAGACTCAGGCTATTGAAAAAATTAACCTTTCAGTTCCCTTTGAAGTCAGTCATTTTAGTGACCCTAAATGAATAAAATAACCGGAACCAAACAACCTTTCTCCACACTATGGAATATTTACAAAAGGATTTACAAAAGTAAAAGGACCTAAAAGTAACCTGAGGGAAAACCAATTATATGTTTGCTGAAGAAAAAAGTTAGATTAGATAGACTTGTTGCCTGGTCTTGAAAATGGAGAATTGTAACACGATAACACACCTTTATATGAAGATAACCGGCTTGATGTTCAGTGGTAATGAGTATGCCCAGATAAATTGTAGATGCTTATCAACTCTGGAGATGCAGTCATCTTGTTATACTACTACAATAAAATAGAAATAGACTTATTTGGTATTTAAATGCTAGACATATAGGGCATAGTTTGCATAAAGCTAGTGTGTGTTGTATTCAGAGGAGTAGGAAGATGATCTCAAGCTCAGTAAAATGCTACATGATCACAGATTTCTCCTATTATTATTATTATTAAAAGCTATTATGTGTTGCTTTCTTAGAATGGGGGTTCTCCAAGTTTGCTCTCTGTAGCCAAGCATTATTTTAGAAATTCTCTCCTCTCCAAACACTCTATTCATAACAGTTTTGGTTTTAAAATCTTAATTTTTTAGACAACAGTTTAACATTTGCTGGCTGAGAATAAAACAATCCTTGCTCTATTCAAATTTAAGGCCTGGGTCCCCATGGGTTGCAGCACTTTTTAACTTATTTTTACTTCTAACTAGAAGTGATTTAATTTTTAAAGCTAATATGGAAGTTGTTTGTGTAAATTAACATAATTCCCTAGGCATCAGTGTGGCTATGATAATTACCCAGCTGAGGATCCAGCCTCCGAAATGTAACTCCAGTGGTTGGGAAATCTGTTTTGTATACAAGTCAAATAACAGCTGGATCACATGTGATGTTACATTTAGTTTCATCGGCAATTCAGAAAATATTTAATAATAAATTTCATTGCTTCTATTCCCTGTTTTTGTATACAAATAAATCATCTTTTCTAAAACATTCTTTTTCTTTAGTAAGGCTTGTATTCATAGTCATATCAAAAGAGTTTGCTATTGGAGCAATCTTTCAGCTTGCTTTCTTTAGTTATCTTTATTATGAAATTCTACAGCATTCTAAACTTTAATGGTCATTAGCAACCCTGCACTTGAGTAAAGAATCACATTAAAAAAGTATAAGGTATAATATTTTCTTGTCCAAAACTAAGGCAGAATGAACAAAAGTAATGAGCTCATCTGATCCTCTCCTAGCAAGCCTTGATTTTAAACAGTATTCAAAATACAAAGCCTAAGAGAGGATGTTGTCACGATGATTATTGCGCTTTCTCAGTGTCTTGCTATAGGATTAGTTTTTCCTTTAGCAATATATAATTTCTTTTCCTGAAGACCACACAAAGTTATCATTCTCTGAAAAGAAAAAAAAGCACTTAAAGTTTTATGAAGTTATGACCTAGACAGAAGGATACAAAACCAAATTACGGTTCTACGATTCAGCTATGTCATGATCTAATATTGTTTCAAAATTATTCTGTTATTTAGGATGGCATCATCTTCTGAACACCCGATGTGCTCTTTGGCATGCTACAAATTCAGCAGATGCACTGTCTTCTGGGCTTTACAGCTTCTTCTGACGAATGTACAACATTTGGAACAAAGCCACTCTTGACACCTTCCCATCCATCTTGTATTGAGATTTCTCCTTTTTTTACAAGTTCATAGATGTCTCGTGTAAGAATTGTAAAGGACTCTTCAACATTCGTGGCATCTTTTGCTGAAGTTTCTATATATTTCATACCACAGTCAGATGACAGTTTTTCAGCTTCTTCTCTTGTAACCTCACGCTGTGACACTAAGTCACATTTATGTCCTACTAACAGGAACACAATCTGAAAGGGCTGCACATGCATTTTTGCTTCTTCTAGCCAGTCTTTCACATGTTCAAAAGATCGTCGATTTGTGATGTCAAACACTAGTAAGCCACCCACAGAATTGCGATAATAAGAGCGTGTTATTGATCTGTGAAGGAAAAAAAAAACCAAAATTAAAATACATTTTCACCTTATTCATAAATAGATTACTTTTCCATGTGGCAATGTGTTTTCATCCACTACAAGTTTTATGAAATATCTTTGCTTTTTTAAAACTAATTGGAATTTATTAATTTACCTTCTACACACAAAAATGTTGCTTTTTCATTTTTTCCTTAAATTCAAAATTCGCTTTCTAAACATTTTTGAAGCCAACATCTCTAGTGCAAATTTTAAGTGCTGAATTATTCTGCAAAGTACTCTTTATAAGCAAACTGTGGCACATGTTCACAGAATTAAATATATATATTTATTTGTCAAATACTTGTTGGTGTTAAAGTCTGAGTCCTTCAGTTTTATACAAACATGCACTTCGCTTTGTTCTAATGAATTATTTCAAACTGAAATATGTAGGCAGACATCAAGAAACCTGGAGCCTAAGCTTGCCAATGTACAAGTGTATCCATTTTTATTCCTTGCAGAAAAATTCTTTGATAGAAAAGTTTGTAGGGATAATCATAATTCTTTGTGCTTGCAGAAGTCAACAGGTAACAGACTAAGAAAGGAAACTTCCAAAACAAAACTGTCCAAAAGTAACTGAGCTGGGCAAACACACTTGTTACAGCATTGGCAAGGAACACTTTTACCTCCAGCACCTCTCTCACACAGAGGTTCAAAAGCTCTTTATAATTGCATTTACTCTTTTTTAGCATGAGACTTCCAGGACTAGCAACAGGTATTTTCTACTATTGAGTCCTCTAAGTTCCAGAGCATTCACTGGAAGGAATTCTGGAAGAACGAAACCCTTCCTCTGCTTGAAAAGATATTTAATATGCTCTAGAAGAAGAAAAAATGTTTGTTAGAATGTAGAGAGAGAGAAAGACACAGGGACTAAACAATTATTGTAAGTCTCTAATCATGAGCAATACAGGAGGATGGAGAAGGTGAGAAGAGACATTTTAGAGGAAGTGACAGCCTACCAAGGAGTGGACGCAAGCACTTGTTACTAGCATAAATATATAGCTAGTGTATATATAAGTATTCTCCAGCTGAAATGAGATGCACAATCTCTATTAACAGTCATTATTTGAAATTACAATTTAGCCAAGAATTAATTCCATTTTATCTTACGATTATGAAGAGGATGCAGCCTCAAAACTTTTGGAATCAGGATGAACAGTACACAGTAACATATCTTTCCATAACAGTAGCTCCCTCTGATTTTCAGTGCATCGCATTTCATACAGTGTTTTATGACAATTTGAACATAAGGTATAATTAGTAGCAGTAGTCATATTACACATAGGTTAAGTGCACAGCTAGATAAGGCTTAGGTTTCTTGGCATATCTAAATTTATTTAGCCACAGCAAATGGCATTTGAAATGGTTTTATTTAGATAACAGGGAGGCATTGTTTGTCCTAATGTTTATAAAGATTTTTCTATATTCTCAGCAATAGAGTCAATGGAGTGTCTCTCTGAACAGTTCAAATGTGAAGACAATAGGATCTTACCCTCAGATTAATTGAAATAGCCTGGATACGAAAAATGACACGTGGTTTCACAAAATTATTTAAGACTGTAAATGAGGGGTGTCACATTTTGTGAAGTATTAAATAAAGGTGCCATAAAGATCTGTTTCAGGTTTTCTTAAGCATTTTTTGCTGTAAAGCAGTTGCAAACACAAATGAGTACATTAAAATAATTCAAGTGGTTCTAGCAAGAGTGGAAGTGGGTAACAAAAATGGGATTCGACCTGGAGACGTAGCAGCTAATACAACCTATTTTCATTAAAAAAAAAAAAATCTTGAAAACAGTTATGCCAAAGAAATGCATTAGCCAGGGAAGAAAGTAGGTTAGTATTGAAAATGCAGTGCGTCATTTACCAAGCATTTCTATACAGAATGATGTTATATCATGTATCTATGAACTGGAGTACTGAAAAACAGCCCTCCATGTGTTACTGGGTGCTTATACACAGCAGTCACTACCCTCATCTGTTGTAACTCACTTCTGCAGGGATATGCTAATTTACACTAGCTGATGATCTAAGCCATTATCATTAATTATGTGTATGTATTGCCTGTAACGGAGATGATTAAAAAGCATCTGTAACTTTGGGCTGTACATCACAAAGACTGGGTGAAACTGTGGGAGAGACAGCAGTCATTTTTTCTATATTTTTGGTATGTATAATTTGAAATTAGTTTTCTCATTACCAAAAAAAGGTTGATATACTAGAGAGGCTTTGGAAAACAGTAACGAAAGAAAAAAGTAACACAAAGAGTTTTAAAGATACGTATGATACATATATCATGTTATGTGATTGTCTAACTGAGAAAAGGATGATGTTTGTAAAATACGGTCTACAAATATTTGAATAGCTTTACTATTCAATAGTTTTACTACTAGTAGTTATTATTTGCAGTTACATCTTAAAAGAAAGTATTCCTGACAGTAAGACAAAATTTTGAAGCAGAAAGTTTAGGCCATCAACATCAACATCATCCATTTAGGAAAATGTCTGGGCACATGAATGTGGTAGGATGTTCAACAGTATCTGAAACATCTTACAGATACAAAATATTTGACTTAAATATGACAATCAGAGTAGATTAAGTATTAGGCATATTTTTAGTAGACAGCTTAGAGTTATTTTGGAAAATGAACTGTGTGAAGTGGATGTACTTCTACTCACTTATACCCTGTATCACACCTAGAAAGAATGAAAGAGCATTGACTTAGGTGGTCTGGTATGTGTCTCTGCTTTTGTTTTGGTTTGTTTTTTTCTCTATAAAATGAAATACAAAGGCAATTTTTGCCTCTTATTAATATTATCGCTACAGATTATGGGACTTCTAAGTGCCTTCACCAAGGGTTAGGCAGAACTATAACACGGACATCTAAAGTTGTGCTCCACTCAGCTTGTGTATCTAACCGTGGTGCCTGAACGAGTTCCCCAGGGACCCCAGAGCTCTGCCTCTACGCCGGCTGCGAGCCCCTCAGCGGGGACAGCCCTGCCTTCCCTCTTAGCTCAGATCCGAGCTGAAAACAAACCATTGCTCCAGGGGAGTGCCCGGAAGGGTTCTGCGTGGGAGGGCTTCCCAAGAACACACCAACACCCTCAGATGGGTTCAAGCTCCTCACAAAATGCAGAGGAACTTTCTTTTAGCACAGTGGAGGTACCCGTCTTTCTTACAGATTCCTCATGCGCTACTTCACAAGGCACAGGTCAGCGTTCATGGAGCCCATGGTACAGAGGCTGCTTGAGGGGTTTTGCTCAGAAGACGTACAGCTTTATAGACTTTACAGGCCATGTCAGTGCACTGCATGTCTTCACCAAAAAGCTTGATGATGAGAGTGCGTGGTAGCCAACAAAAGATAAGGAGGGCTGACAGTAAAAGGCTCTTCACGCAACAGCTGGTAGACTTGTAGATCTCCTTGGGAAAGATGTTATGAATGCAAAGAGTTTATCTGTGTTCCATGGAAGACTGAACAAGTACTGAACAAGAGACTCAGTGAGGTTTAGTAAGTAGACAAACTGCATCAGCCTCCCGAAGTCCCTCAAGTTGAAAGTACAGGATAGCAGAGTACTCAGGAGAATTCAAAGACTCTATCAGAGACAAGATACCTGAGTATGGACCATAGACAAAACCAGACTGGCCTTTATTGTATTCTTTCACAAGTAGGGAGTCTGCTTACATGATTATACACACTTTGGTAAGTGCTGCAAGATGAGACTCTAAAAACAAAATGATGTTTTTAACTCCCCTATTGTCACTTTTTGAACAGAAGGAAAAAAAACTAGGGTCCTGCAAGTTTTTGAAGTCAGAATGAGGAACTGGTGACAGGTCAGGTTTGATGTAGTCCAAGTTATTCATAAAGGATGTTCAAATTTCTGTTTCTTGAATTATCCCCATGCAGATCCTAAATTCTTGTTGAAATGATGGCTTATCTTACACAGTAAACTTTGGTTCAGCTATTTCGTGTCATTAAACTAGCACTATGCAAGGGAATGTGTTACTTGCAGCACCACGATTAATTTTCTGTGGGGAAGGAGGGAGAGGGGAGTACTTCCTTTAGTAGGGGGAAAGCCTTAAGTTAGGGACAGGGTGTGATTAGGATGAAAAGGTAACGGCCAAAGAGCAGCCTTTCTTCTAAAATTGGGGAGACAGCAATGAAGCCTGCCATCTCCTTCCAGGAAACCGTTCAGAGGAGGTGCTGGTTGGAAGTGGGAAGCAGAACTTTGTTCAGATTTAGAATCTGACAAATCTGCCCGTGACTTTGAATGAAATGGGGACTGAACTCCTATCCATCCCTGCATTTGTCTTTATTCATATGTTTTAACACTTTGTTTTTCTTCTGTTCCTTTGTGCCCGGTACTTCCCTGCTGCCTCCTCTCTCAGCTTCTCTTTCACAGAAGACTCTGAACCCGTCTCAAAGCGATAGCTAATGGAAGTGCCCAAACCAATGTGTCTGCCTGAGCCTTGGTTCAAGGTGCAAGCTGGTATTTCAGGAGGGAGTTTCCCTTCTTCCTATGGCTACACTAAAAGAAAGGAAACAACCCTCCTACTTAGCAGAGGTGACTGTAACCCCTTGGTGACCAGAGGCCTACATGGCTGTGCAGCTTCTCCTCTTTCAGGCTGGAGTATGAACGTCACGCCAGCCGCTGATGATGGGTGTGCTACAGCCTCCAGTCAGTCCACACTAAATATGTGAACTATTATATCATCTTTTCTTGAGAGTTACAAAAATTGACATAAGCATTATTGAAAGGTAATTTTTATTTTGTCCTCCATTCCATATAAATAAAATAGGGATTACAAAGCTCCTTGTCTATGCTGTTGTTAAATATGGACTGTCCTAGCATCCTCAAGATCATCCTAAGTTTTTATTTTCAGCAAGAATACTTGTATGCATAATATTTTTGCTCATTTCATATAATGCTTGGCATCTGTAATAAATGAAAGATAAATACAGATAAAGGGTT